CGTAATCTATATTAATATATTTGAGGAACTGTGGAGATTGTACGAATGACAATTGTAGTAAGGGATCGTAAAAATCGGGTATCAGCAAACCTCCCGGGGATCGCTTGCTACTTAGTTGCCGGGAATTGAGGTGGCTGTTGTTGCCATAGGACCGACGCAGAGGCGCGACACAGCAGAAATTTCAGCTTTAGATACGCTATCGCCAGCCTCGGACTATCGCTAGTTAGCCTCTGCACCAGCTCTGGCTGGCTCTATCTTGCAACCATGCAGCTTGCACCGAGAAGCTCTGGCTAAATACCTGCTCTGGTAGTGCACTTAGTCAGATGAGCTTCAGTGTTTGTCGAGGACGATTTAAACCACATCACCGATCGCCAAGATCACCGATCCTTCAATCGTACAGTAAACCGTATTATCATTGGGGTTTTTCAAAATTCTTACCGTATTAACGTCAGAAACTTTGATTCGAAACGAACAAATCCAATTATCTGGAATGGAAACGCTCCAGATGTCATAACTCTTCGACTCTTAGAATAAGTGTCGACAACAGCACCGAAATTCGAGCATACAGGTCCTGATCATCCTAACTCGACGTTTAAACCCGTTCAAACACGCTGACACATGTCAGTCACCAAGATGAACTACTTAACTATTAAATAAGTTATACAACTATATATAAATGACTTATAATCGCTCAACGAATTTAGGAATAGATGCAATAATGTGTAAACTATGCAGATATTATTGATTTACATTATTTTTTTCGAAATGAACAGGCTTACTATTCAATCGAAAGAAGATCTGAATAGCTAAAATTGTTCGCGATTCATATCTCATAGAGGCAGAAAAGGCGTGACGTCCCGGGGTACAAGAAAATATTTTCAGTCAAGCTCAACGCCAAGTCTTATTCATTACAGTGATAAATTTACGTGGTTTATAAATCATGAACCAATTGATTCGTTTGATTTCATGAATGCAATCAAATAATACCGGTCAATTTCTAACCAAATTTGTTTCACGTTATTTTCATTCGTTGTTACAGCCGTTTGTGCAAATTTAAAATTTATTGAACTCCTTGGAAACGTTTCCAATATCAACTCAGTGATGGAGTTTGCAATCGCTGCCTTTTAAATTGAAATGTTCGTTATTTGTGCAGTAAACTCAGATCTATTTATCTTTTATTTAATTTGCAATATAAGTAAGAGGATTGTAAGAGGATATTTGAATAATTGAAATAGATTGAGATGAAAATTGGGTGAGTGGTCTGTTCATAGGTTCGAAAATCTTTCCAGGACAAACTGCCTGATTTGTCCTTCGATTTTCATGTGGCTTGTACGGTACTGCAAATATACGGATTTTCATGTGGCTTGTACTGCAAATATACGGATTTTCATGTGGCTTGTACGCAAATATACGGATTTTTATGTGGCTTGTACTGCAAATATACCGATTTTCATGTGGCTTGTATTTCAAATTTCTTATATGGCTCTTATTGCAGGCTGAGCCAGATTTTCATGTGGCTTGTACTGCAAATATACTGATTCTTATGTGGCTCGTATTGCAGGCTGAGCCAGATTTTCATGTGGCTTGTACTGCACATTTTTTATGTGGCTTGTACTGCAAATTTCTTATATGGCTCGTATTGCAGGCTGAGCCAGATTTTCATGTGGCTTTTCAATATTTTGCCTTGAATTCTTTTCCGAGAATAAATCATTTGTAAATACTTTGATTAACACCAAATTTCAAATTATCTAACGAGCTAGCTAATGTAACACTAATGCGAGAGAATTTTCTACATTATTGTTCGATATCCATCTTTGAGCTCGAATTTCAAGCTGATCTCGAAAAAATTTATAAACGGAAGTATTCACATGATGCGTTTAATTGACAAAGTTTTAAATACTTAATGCTCATGTATACAATTAGAGTGAATCCTATATATCCAAAGCTCAAAAGTTAGGTCATGGAAGCGAATTTGAAAATTTAACTTGCAATAACCCTTAAGTTTTCAATTTTTCCAAATAAACTCTCAATTAAAGTGCTAGTGCCAAAACGCTTCGGCGTCTGCAGCCGTGAAGGTCACAGTAAGGACGCACTCTGCCGCCCCGACGAAGTTGACCTTGTACAATTCGCGGAACCAAACTCAAATTGAGGCTCTGGTATGGAAGAGAAGAAGGAAAATTGAGATTTGTGACTATTAGCATTAAATTCGAAGGGATTCTTCGATGCGAGGTTAATTTTCTCTCTAGAAGTACTTGCTACGATGCCGGTTGGAAATCAATCGTGAAGAAAACGACTACGTACAAGTTTGGACCCATTTTAACCGAGTTTGGATTCACATAAAACAAGATTCTGGCATGGCTATTTTTCGTTGGCACAAATCAACATGATTTAGTTATTAATCGGTCAAATGTTTGAATGAAAATAACCATTAGTGAATAACATGCAGGTTCAAATTGTTATAGTCATAGACGGTAACCTCATGTCGGGGAGGAGACAAGCAGTAGGAACTGGCTCGAGCTTGTGAGTTGTGACTTGTGACTTGTGACTAGTCACTTAGTCAGCTCAGCGAGGTTCAGTCACATCAGTGCGCCTACGACAAGCGCCGTGGTAAGGTTGGTGTAGTAGCTGCTGAGATGTGTGTTGAAGTCGATAAGTTTAGTATATATCAATATATGCATTTCAGTCAGTAAGTAATAACCCTACATCAACAGCAAACAATAACACTTATTCTAACATTCATCCCGTCAACTCGTTTGCACGCATCAATTAAATACAAATTTTGAATACCTATTTTAATTGTTTTTCAGAAACTAGAATGAAGATTAGGCCTATTATCGGTTGAATCATCAAATGCTACAACCGCACTTCTAGGAATAATTCATAAAAGATTTATTTATTTAAATATTGTAGTGATATCCTGCTTCAATCATACTTTTACGATTAGGTACGAGATCAATATTCTGAAATTGCAGTCGTCTCAACTAAAATTATTTATTATTCATCAATTTTTCTCTTCATACGGTAAAATTAAAAAAGAATTCAAAATTGTAAAGTTAAATGCTTCCCTACTATCACCCTGTATTAACAATTAATTTTACGAGTTATGTTTTTCGGGGATGAAGAGACTACCGCCTACCGGAGCCGGTCTGCAGGCGATCGTGGCGCTCGTCTTTAGTCGCTGGGTAACCATTTGGTTTGGTACTTCAAAATTAGAGCTGCGCGAAGTGAAGAACGACCTGATATCGGTCACGCTTTAAACAAAGATTTTACGGAATAGTGCTAAAACCTTTAGTCGTATTTGATGTGAGCAAGCCAAAGCTGATGCTGTCATGCTGAATCATCCAGATTTACGCGTGATATCACAGAGACACAGACCGTCAGCTTGTCTCATCCATCGGCATATCCTTAGTTAAAGTATAGCAAACCTCCTTTAAGTAGATTTCACGCTGGGCGCTGGCTAGAGTGCGCCTATAACGCACTAATTTTAAATGTATTTTGATTAACAATTAATAATTATTTATTCAACTTGGATGTCTGACCGCTCTGACTTTTTTTGTGTGATCTCTACCTATCGTTTGTACGGTACTGCTGATATTTTCGGGCCTGAAATACCACCCAATTCAGTCCTGAATTATTTAAAATTCACTTAATTCAGCATGCCTTTCATACTTTTTCTGATGATCCTACGATTTGAATTTTGCGGCAAGTTGAAACCATTCGTTTTGAGCTTTTGACTGTTTTGACTGTCCTGTAGTTGTTCCGACAATATTATTGAAAAGTAAAATTATAAATAATTTTATATTGCTTTGTAACTGTAAATTCACTAGTCCTTCAAAAATTCAGTTCTATATTCCTGAAAATATTGGCGCAAACTTGGACGCGTTCGGGCTCACTCGGTAAAAAAGAATATTGAAAGATTAGGTATGGTTAGTATGTTCTTTGACTGTAGTTACTAGTTAGTTTAATGAAATAATGAACTAATTTATTCAAATCTGACGAATCCTGTGGTGAATGATGTATTCTTGTATAACATTGAAAGAGAGACCCGATGAAGGTTAGTCTAAGTGCAATTTCAGGATAGACGCCTTTGCAGAAATAGCCCCCACTAGGGTTTGTCCGGATCGCTCGTTATTATATGCTACTTGGCATTCAAGTTAGGCATCAGGCAGTCGTTCTGTTGCTCTGTTTTAGTTAGCTGTTATGCTCCAACTTCAGTCATATTTTATACATGATTGCCCATTTGCAGTATTTTATTATTCCAAAGAATTTTGTTGCGAATATCGAGTAAATTGCTTTCGTTTGAAAACGGTATGAAACATGACTGGTATACTTTTAGGATAAAATTTGGATGCGAATTTTTAGATGAATTTGTATAACACGTATTCCACGCATAACATTGTCAAATCAAACAAATATTGACCTAATTAATTATGAAGCTATTCACAATACGTTCCTGCAAGCGTTGTCAAAACTAATTTTGTCCGTGCCGTTGGCAATTACTGTGCTAAACGCTCAGTTAGGGAATAGATATGCGTGCAAAGGGCGCTATTAGTTTATGTTAGTGTTTAAGAGTTATTAAAACTTACTTTCACTGCTACCTCTACAATAAATTACTCAATACACATTTATTCATACTCATCAGTCCGAGTTTGAATTTTGTGCTAACTTCTTTGACAAAAATAGAACAATTCCGAATTCTTGTTCGGCTTGTAAAGTGGGTAACTTTTTCTGAGTTGCCTGTTTATATGTGCCTCTTTGTCTGAAATTTGCAAGCACAGTCACAACCGTTGTAACAGGTCGTTATGCTGCAGGCCTATATAGATTCGAAAAGTTCCGACAAAGGTTAATGTATCGTTAGAGAAAGGTTTACAATTTAGATGAAGTTACATAAATCTTGCCAGTACGTTTTCAATTGGTTAGTATCAGTAAGATTCGTGAGAGAAATGATGTGATGTCTTAGAGATTAAAAAAATTAATACGGTCTCTTGCCCTTGCAAGTCCTAAGCATGGCTTTATGGCTGCGAGCCACTTCTTTCCGCATGCCGACGGACACGTGGGTTGAATGATTGCAGGGCCTCCAATTGGCTGCTTCATCATGATAGATGCTGCGAGAGTGTTTTTGATAGACACAATGCCATTAAATGACTGTGCATTAGTAGCCTAATATAGTTATGAGAATAACTGAGGTGCTTGGAAAGTTCTTCTTGTAATGATGACAACGGTTAACGGTACATATTCGTACTCATTCTGGTCGCTGCTGAACGCAAGGTTCAGGAAAGGACCAACAAGCGGTGAAGATTTTTTCCGTGTCCTGAGGGGCGCGAGCGCCGCGAATATCAAGTTACTTGAGTACTTGTTGGGTATTGCTTTTCTATGGAGCTGCACGATGTTGACATACAGTATTTTAATTGAATTTGAAACAAAATATCATCTAAAAATACTTTAACATGTACAGTATCTTTAAAAAGATTTGAACTTCTTTAGTAGGATAAATTTTGTTGTCAACGAACAGTGACTTGTTTCTCACACATTCATGAAAATTCCGTATTCTTGATGGTAACTTATTATTCCGTTTTTTTTTTATTTTTGTCTGTGGTGTTGAATTTCTTTCTGTTTTTTTTCTTTTTTTTGTTTTTTTATTTTCATTTTGTTTGAGTGCGCTTCCTGGTAGTGTTCTTGTCGTCGGATTATTCGTGTGGTGTTGTGTTGGTGAGGGGTCTAGCTTCCCGCACTTCATCACAACAAGAACTAATAAACAACTACCAATTAGTACGGAGTACTAACACTAAATTTGTGATGACTAAAGTTATGTGTACTTAAATCTTTCAAATTAGAATTCCATTTAGAGCTAAGTATACAAAATGTTTGCCCGGCTCCAAATATTTCACTTTTCATTGATTTATAAATATTTTTCGTGAGCTTGTAGTTCTGCTGTTCTCGCGAGTTTCATTTGCTCGAAAAACTGTATTGTCATCAATTACCCGGTTATTGCAGAGCAACTAAGTTATTTAAGAAACGTAGGAAGTTTTTTTTTTTTGCAGTTAACGAAGAGCAGAAATGCAGAAGTGCCGCTTTTATTGGGTGCTGCTGGCGGCTTTTGTGACGCTGCAGCAAGGCTCGGCCGAGCCTGATCCGCAGGTTGTCGCTGAGGACGAGTCGTGCAAGTCTAAAGTGGACGACTCGGAACTCCCCATCCATCGGGCCATCCGGCAGATTAGTTTCCCCGGTAAGATTTCTTGGTCAGGTTAGATAGTTTCCTTTATTTTTATGTCAGAAAATATTGTCGCAGTAGTTCACCCTTGCCACTTGTATTTATTATACATGAATTATCTACATGGCTGCATAGTCTGATGTTTGTGAGACATTTTGTTGATGTTTTTCTTCAGCCACCTGGCATGCATTTGTTATTTAGTCCTACTTTTCTGTTGTTAATTCTGTGTGTTTCCCGTCAGCCACTTGTATCCTCAACCTATTATTCCCGAGGCTATTGTCTTCACATTATCTGCCTTAGGAAGCTATATTTGTGTGCGTGTCTCCTGTTTATTCCCAACGCTTCCTGGCGATAATTGATGTTAACTGCTCGGCGCATCCGTAGCGCGTGATGAAGTAAACATCAACACGGGGCCTAAACCCAAGGCCATGTTTTCTAAGGGACCTAATACAAAAACCTACGTAAAAGCTATCTTTTGGCATTGGCTAAAAAGTACGATGAGCATTGTGCAGTTTCTCAAATATATTCAAATATTATTCTCGGTTATAAATTGTAATTAGTTAATTGTATGATTTTTTCTGATGTGTTAGTGTCGTATATTGGAGTTTTTTCGGTACTTTAAAAATACATAGGCATATAGACGCCGGCGTTGAGGTCCGACATATATGCATCGTATTATTTTTTCGCTCTATCGTAGTACAGTCATGTTAGTATCAACGATCAATTACTGCTCAATTGTGTTGTCATGATGCTATACTGCACTATGGATTATGCTTGAGGGCATAGTAAAACAATTAACTTAACGTCTCAGAAGTGAAAAGCGTTTTTTCCAAGTGTAGCGAAGTATCTCGAAGTTTTTAAGGAGTTTAAAGATAGATCTCAAGTTAATTCTTTTGTTTGAAGTGTTTATGAATCTGTCAATATTGCTATATTGCCTGTCTCTATGGTGCAGTATTTCTCAAAAATTGACACTCATCATCTGGGCCTATACTTTCAAAAAAAGTTAAGAGATGGTAAGTTCATAAGCCAATCATTGACGGCCTTTCAAGCCAAATCCACCAATCATGGAAAAGAAATGAGAGCGTAAGTACTTACGTTCACTTAGCGAGTTTTGAAAGTATGGCTCCACAAATTTATCTTGAGCGTGATTTATATTCAATATTTTACCGTTGAAAAAAATATTACATTATTATATTAAATGAATATTAACTTTAACATCAACCGAACACAAATCTCTCATTATTTGTGGACAAGTCGTCGCTGTTCCGAGAAAATTCAAGGTCTCTAAAATCGCTGGCCGGCTGTCGTTAAGGGCAAGGTGATTTTTTTTGTAACGCTTTTGATTAGATCCGGAAAAACCGGTTTCGATGAGCCTGCCACATAAAATGCAGAATATAGCTCTTGAAATGATGCGGTTTGCACAGCTGCATTATCAGCTATATTATTTTGAAGCAAGCTATGGAAGGTGACACGAGGTCCTAATTAAACGTTTTGTATGCTTGTATACAAAAACTGGAGGATGCCAAACGTACCTTGTAAATGTCTTGAGATTTTCCCTCGTCATATGCAAAAAATGTTTAAAAATTCACGTAATAATCTAAAATGTGTGATGCAGATTGAATAATTTTTATCGTTACAATAAAATAGTTTTAGAAATTAATTACCATTACGGGCTTAATTCATTGCTCTGACAAGAGGAACGCTCCCTTACCTAAGATCTGTTAATTCGTAATCGCATGCCAAGTTAGACATATAGTTTTCGTTGCTACAAAAGGCATCTGAGTTTAAGAAGAGGTGATGACCTATTCCTTTAAAACATATTTTAGTGCAGATAAGAAGAGAAGCTCGGATGTACGAGATTCAAACTCGACAATACGTTAAGATAAAAAAGAAGCGCTACAGTTTTAGTAGGGGCGTAATATTTATCTTGCGCCCCCAACAGTGATATTTTTTAAATAAATCTTTGACGTGTAATCCTTAGAGACGTTGTGGTCCAATTTGAAATGTAGAACGATGTGTCATAACGTGGAATTAAATATGTATATAATGCAAGATAGATGCAGCAAAGGTTATAATTGAAGGGTTATTTCTTCACTTTAGATAAATATTTTTTTCGCTAACATCCTAAATCATCATGCAGAATCTTGAGGCCTTTATTTAAAAGATATTACTTATTTCACATCGAATATTTGCTTGAATTGTTCCTACCCTTTGGTACCTATCTTTCTGCGATAATTATTAAAGTTACCTGCTACCCTCTTACAAGCCATTCTGTACAGCTCACCCGAAGCCATTACAACAAGTACGAACCTTCTTATCACGAACTTTGATAGAAACTTGAAAGCTTTCCCTGGTGGAAAGATCCGGACAAAGATATCTTCACTAATAGAATGGTCAAGTGTTCTGCCGTAGCCCGGTTGCAAGAACATTACATTTAAACAGGTTTCTCGCGTTTCCACTAAACTCGTCAGAAATAATTGAATTAGTTATACCTTCAGAATGTTCTGGCTTCCGGGTGGCTTTTGTGTTTTCATCATTTGTATATTTCTCTATTAATTGTAGCCTTATTTTTCAGTATGTATAAATTTTTGAACCGCTTATCTCGCTGAGATCTTCCAAGTGAGTAATCTGTAATCCCATCAATGTATGGACTGTACGCGATAATTGATATTCTCTGTCCGTCCCTTGTAGTAGAAGGTCGCCATGAGATTACATTTATAAGCCCAACTGAACCACTAGCCTCTGCGTTGTAGCGTGACTCGAGTGAAAATGAAAGCTCTGCTTGTTTATGCAATGTGCAATTTACTGTTTACGCAATATTTAATGTGCAATTTGGTTCTTAGATCTTTGAACTTGAAAGGGAGTTCCCAAAAGGAAACTGCCTTTAATCAATTGATCATCAAACCTTTTTAGCTGCTTCACTTATAAATTCAGCAAACCCCCTAAACTCTCTCGTTGCTAGGCATTGAGATCCAAATAACATTGCCAACGTCTCACGTACTCGCAGACAAAGAGGTAATCGGCAGTACTTTTATCAATATATTTTACATTTTATCAACTAAGACATGAAGGTAACAGTTCAAAATGAATTTTCAAATACCGTAGGTGCCGGCGGGGGCGGTCGCCGTCCAGGTCGGCCCCAGGGAGGGGGAGCCGCCCCCGTGGGCCAGTGCGGGAACTGCGTGCCCATCGTGGCGTGCGCCCCCCTCCTGGAGCAGGTCTCCACCACCTGCCAGCTCCCTGACGCAGGACTCGGCGTCTGCTGCCCCCCTCTGCGTGAGATTTTTTCCTTTAATTTGTTTATTTTCGTTGTTATTTGTAAAATTTTTTGTGAGTGTACCAACGAAATTAACTACTATTATTAACTTTTAAAAATAATATTTTCAATTTAATTTTCAATTTTATACTGTTTTTTTTAACCTCAGTTAAACGAAAACTATTGTTTTGTTGAATTAACCGTTCGCAATCTTGATATTTTCACAGCCACTAGCCGCAGTTAGCTGGCCAGCCTCAAAACTTAGTGATCACAATCCTAAAATTTTATCCTGATCGTGTTCAGCCAAGCCGAGCGTGGGACAGGGAGACAATAGACTCTTCACTTTACGTCGCCAACAAGTCGACATGAGAAGCTTGTCTCCCCAGGAAGTCAACACGGCGTGCGAGAAGGGACGGAGTTTCCTCAATGGAGTCACTAACCTGGAATCCCAACTCATTGCGTGAGCTAATTCTGTTGTCCCGCGTATCCCGTAAGATTTGTTCTGCGATGTTAAGAATCGGCGACAGGCCTACGGCCTAATAAACGCTGAAAAAGCTATTATTATTATTATATATTATTAAGATGTATTTTATATGCCCGTGCATACGTTTCAACATCACCGATTCGTACTTCACGGTTTTTAATGCCCAAGAGATATGACAATGTAATCCAATTTAACTTAATTAATGGCATCAAAAATAAAATAAATAAAAACTTAAAAAAACACGTTTTCTTAACGGACAAAAAAGAAAAACAATAAATCTTACATACCATTAAAGTTATGTAGAAAGTTATGTAATGTTATGTAAGAGTTAATGTTTTTTTTTTGTCCGTTAAGAAAACGTGGTTCTTATAAGTTATTTATTTATTTTTTAAGTTCTTTATAAGCATGAATGCTAAATTTCCAGTTTCTAGGATGTTCAGAAGAGCTCTAAATTAGGGTCTGAATTTTTGATGACAGACAGACACGAAACGAAGCTAAGAAAAACGTGGTAATAACAGCTTGTCCAAAAATATTTGCTTTTCAACAAAGCTTTATTTGCCAGTCGGTACGCCTGCTTATGGCCATCTCAAGTTCTTCTCAGTGACGCGTACAGCTCGCCAGGCTCACCTGGCGGCGCAGCAAATCAACCAGGCCTCTCGGTCTATGCTCAATGAGTGCGTATTTAGCAGCTGCCTAAATTACCACGATTTATCAAACGTCGTGTAAAACATACATTTGTATTGTGTGATAAGGTCTGTATTTAGTAATTCAAAACACAAAATTATATTTTGTACACCTATTTTCCCTATCTTAAAGATATTTTTCTAAGAATATTTTGCTACTGCCCTAATAGGTTCCAGTTAAGTCCAGCTCAAGGTACCCATGGCCTGCGTCAGTTGCCGGTGCGCAACAGCATTCTCGCTGAGAATTGCCCTCGGGCACCGCAGTGTAATCCTCAAGCCAAGTACCGCACCATTGATGGCACCTGCAATAACCTGCAAAACCCATTGTATGGAAAGAGCGAAACTGCTTTTCAGAGGATCTTGCCACCAGTTTATGGTGATGGTGAGCATCAGGCACAACTCCCATCCTTGACCGGGAAAGATGCGGGTTCCTATGTGTTTGTCATAATTTTTGCTTGACTGCTACGTATTTTACTATTTATAATCCTGTGCACTAAGCTTACAGGGGTTGAAAAATTTTCATTTTGTTCAGTTTCATATTAACTTTATTTGTTGTTCTTGGATTGAATGCTATTTTCAGCTTTTATTTCTCAGGTGTGAGTTCGCCGCGCACGAGATCCGTGACAGGCTCCGAGCTCCCCCTCGAGCGCGTCGTCGCCAGCAACATTCTCGTAGACCGCGACGACCCTGACCGAGAGTTCACGCTCTCCGTCATGCAGTGGGCGCAGTGGATCGACCACGACCTCACCCACGCCCCATTCACCAGTCTCCGTACGTATGCCTAACCTTGTTGGTGTTGCAATAACCAGAACAAGTGTGTTAGGACGTATTCAGTTTTGCTTGATGTTACATCCTATCGACTGTATGTGTGCGCGCGCCTTTTTTGTACTTAAATTGTATGCCCGAGGTTCTGACGATTACCTCTTTGCGGAGGGATTAGTGACTTGTGGCATTGCTCATCAGAAGGCCTTATAAACTACTTCATTTCAAGAAGGATTGTTCGTGCTCCCAACTCATGACTGTTTTCACGCGACTGTAGGTCCCTCAACTACTTGCGTAGGTCTCACAAGTCGTAATGTAACTGGGTGGCATGGTAGGTGGAAACTTGGAAACTGGTAGTTTTCGTGACTCTTCCCATTTCCGTCTTCTTCCCGTGTCGGGTAAATAACCGATTAAAATGAGTTTTCGTTAAATTTTGCAATTGACCCATGTATTTTTGAAGATAGAGTGTTTTGAGTCTTAGTAAATTTACGACATACCACAAATACTTCGTTGATACAGATAATTCCTTATTTTGGTGCAATAAAGGTTTGGGTCTGGTGCTCTACTAAAATTTGCCGACTATTCAACTACTATAACAAATCACTTAACTTCATTCAACTATTATACTTCATTAGCTCAATTTCAGGAATGAAGTGGTCTACAACACTAGAGGAGAAATGAGTATTTATTGTTTGGCTTACATTGCTGATTTCTTTGAATATTTCTTCATCTTCTGATGCCAGCATGCATGTAATATATTTCATCATATTTTTTGTTCTTCTAAATTAATTTGATGAAATGTTTGGCCTGAGCAGCAAATGGCCAGGGCATCGACTGCTGTCCTAATGGAACGGAAGCGACTGGACCGCAACGACATCCTGAGTGCTGGCCCGTCCCGATCCCACGTGATGATCCCTTCTACGCTCCCAGGGGTAGAAATTGTTTGAACTTCATCAGGAGTATGTTGGGCCTCAGCCAGGAGTGTACTTTTGGATTTGCCGAACAGGTTTGCCTCTTTCTAAAACTTATTCAAACGTAGCTGCTTTACCCGAGTAGACTACTGAATGATTTTGTTTGCATATCAATATAATGAAGATTGTACTGCCGATATAAAAGTAGGTACCTATTATCGTTCGAAGTGAATATTTGCCCCTACCAAATTGTCCAATGGATACTTTATTAAATGTCTAGAAACTGAAATTAATAAAAAGCCCGGATAACTCAAACTTCCAAATAATTCTGTTAATCTTGTTGCATCGAAAACTAAATTTTTGCCTACACAGATGAACCAACTCACGCACTGGCTCGACGGCTCTCAAATCTACGGGTCCACAGCCATGCAGTCGCAGCGTCTGCGCCAGAACCAAGCTGGTCTCATGAGCGTCAGCAACGGCAACCTTCTTCCTTTCGACCAAGAGAGCGGATCGGGTTGTGAAGCTCGTCAACGAGGAGCCCTTTGTTACATCGCTGGTGCGGATTTTTTAATACACTCTTGAAGGATTTTCTTTTCAAGGAGACAAGTTACTTTACTGAAATGGTTTACCTTGATCATTTCTGGCCACGCTAAAAACTTCTACTTCGCATATCAAGAAACATTGGAAAAATGAACAGGCTTCAAAGTCAATACCTAACTCAAGAGAAAGTTTCGTTCGTTTTAAATGCCTGATTAGCAAGCAGCAGAGTGTGAAAGTTATTTTTTATTGTGATTACCTTTTTATATCGTTTCAATATCAGATAAACAAATAACAATTGAAAATTCACGTTGCCAATTTCATGGAAAATAATTGATACCTAACTATTTTCATTTGGCTCTGAACAGAAAATTCCATCAGTTGTATTATTAACGCTGTCTGTCAAAAATTGTATTGTGTACTCAATCCTATTTGAACGTTTGCCTGGTGACAAAATTGCAGGTGACTCCCGTGTAAACGAACAGCCTGGCCTGACTGCGATCCACACGCTCTTCCACCGCGAGCACAACCGCGTGGCCCGCGGCCTCCAGCAGATGCATCCTGGCTGGTCGGATGAGGCTCTCTTCCAGGAGGCCCGAAGGATCGTCGTCGCTGAAGTGCAGCACATTCTTTTCAACGAATGGCTTCCCATCATCGTTGGTAGGTTGCCCATTTAATTGTAACAGACGACAAACGTTTTAGATCATTGAATTGTGTTGCTTGAACTTTTCGATTTTGTCTAATGAATTAGGAAATGTGTAACGAGCTACGTATTTCCTAAATTTTCAGGTCAGAATTTCATGCAGTCGTTTGGATTGAACCCACTACAGAGCGGCTACAGTTTCGACTACAATCCCAACATCAACCCGACAATGAACAACGAGTTCGCTACGGGCGCTTTCAGATTCGGACACTCGCTTGTACAAGGCATCATCAAGTGCGTTTTATTGAAATATGCCAAAATTTGCTTCCACGCACCAGAATGAAGTACTTTTCCTTTGGGGATTTATAATCTTCTGTAAGTTCGATTTTATATTTTCCACGTACTGCACGATTCCAAAGGAGCCCACGCCTTGATTCTCTTCATCACACTTCCTCTCAATATTTCTCTAGAGTAGTTTAATTAAAATAGAACCTAACTTCCAACGCCCCGTATCTTTATGATGAAATTAAAGCAGAAACACTTTAGTATGGAACTTTCATGTCACGTCATTTTTGATTGCTACTGCTGTGTGCGCACAGTCCCTTCATATACATTCTCGAGCACCACCACTTTCTGACTACCTATTGAAATTGACCACGCAGTTTTTAATTGAGTTGCACTTGATTGAATTAGCTTACGTAATTTTCTTTACAAACAAAAAATTTTAAATTACCGCCGAAATAACATTTATTGTTTGTGTATCAGTCTTTTTGATGCCAACGGCCGCATCACGACCATCCGCATGCGTGAACACTTCAACTCGCCGCACATCTTCCAGACGGTACCTGGGGTGATCGACATGTTCTCGCGCTCCTTCACCCAGCAAGCCATTCAGAAGTTCGATTCGTTCGTCACTGATGATCTCTCAAACCATCTGTTCCAGGTGACAATTCTTGATTGGTTTTCAGCGAGGTAAAAATTGGATTAACAATTTTTTGCGAGGTTTTGTTCGTATTGTACTGTATTCAAGTTTTCATCTCAGAATCGTCGCTGATCAAAAATGCCCGGCGATAAATATAACTTTGGTATGATGGTATTCTTGCTGAAGTAATAAAAATGGTAGTCAAAGCATCAAGTAGAATCTAGAAGTTTAATTTATGCTTAATCCATTCATCAATAAAAACCTGTAATTGCAGCTTAAAAACGTTTCTAATTCTCTTAGGATAAACATTTAAAATTTTCACTCCTTTGAATAGAACGCATTGATCTTTGTGTATTACATTCAGTATCTGTTAATTATAAATATTAAAAAAAAAACTTTTGTACCAGACACCTCGGCAAAACTTCGGCATGGATCTGATGAGCCTGAATCTTCACCGAGGACGTGACCACGCCATTGCGTCTTATAACGCCATCAGGGAGGTGTGCGGTCTACCGCGCGCTCGGGACTTTGCTGGCTTCAATGATCAGATCCCCAACGACATCGTCGCAAGGTAACATCCTGAAGTAATAAACGGGCAATGTTTCAATGGCAAGATCCTTGTGGGATCCAATGATTCAAGAAGCGTTGCTTCGTGATCTATATTAATATATTTGAGGAACTGTGGAGATTGTAAAAATGACAATTGTAGTAATGGATCGTAAAAATCGGGTATCAGCAAACCTCCCTGGGATCGCTTGCTACTTAATTGCCGGGAATTGAGCTGGCTGTCGTCGCCATAGGGCCGACGCAGAGGCACGACACAGCAGAAATGTCAGCTTTAGAGGCGCTATAGCCAGACTCTGTCTATCGCTAGTTACCCTCTGCGGATCAGCTCTGGCTGGCTCTATCTCGCGCCGTGCAGCTCTCATCCAGAAGCTCGGGCTTAATACCTGCTCTGGGCCGGATACAAACTGCCTGATTTATCCTTCGACTTTCAAGTGGCTTGTACTGCAAACATACCGATTTTCATGTGACTTGTACTGCAAACATACAGATTTTTATGTGACTTGTACTGCAAATATACCAATTTTCATGTTGCTTGTATTGCAGGCTGAGCCAGATTTTCATATGACTTGTACTGCAAATATACAGATATTTATTTGCCTTGTATTGCAAATATACGGATTTTTAATGTTGCTTGTATTGCAGGCTGAGCCAGATTTATGCGCACCCTGACGACGTAGACTTCTTCGTGGGCGGCATGTCCGAGAAGCCCGTGTCTGGGGGGCTGTTGGGCTGGACGTTCCTGTGTGTTGTGGGCGACCAGTTCGCGCGCGCCAAGAAAGGAGACAGATTCTTCTACGACGTCGGTGGCCAGCCTGGGTCCTTCTCCGAAGGTAAAATTAGAATATATTCAATAAAAACCTTCTTCCGAGAGATATTCATTCTTCAATTGTGACCATAATAAGTCTGCAAAAATCATTTATCACACTTGAGCTACTTTGTTCAATTATCCGTGCGCAAGAATGTATCGCTATTTTTTTAATGCGACCTACAATATGACCGCTCCGTAGCTTACAACCAGGATGGTCATTCGTGTACGTACTTATGGCAAAACTTTCGGTGTCTAAATAATTTGGGGTTACTGGACCGTTGTGGTGCCTATCAGGGGGCAGTTCCTGCGTGGGTGCCATTACCCACGTATAAATGAATAATCCTGTCCAATTATTTGTCTCTAGTGCAACTGCAAGAAATTCGCAAGGCGTCATGGGCACGAATTCTGTGCGACAATTCCGACAACGTGGTCAGCGTGCAGCCTCTTGCCTTCCGCCTGCAGAATCGGAACTTGTAAGTGTCCGAGCGCGGATTTTAATGTGATTTTGAGGGAGCGCCATTTTAAGATTTTATTTTTTGAAGATTTTGAAGGAGCGTCATGCAATATAAACTTCGTTAGTCATTATAAATTACATATTGGTACATGGTGTTTGTAGGAACTGGAAGAGTTATGATCTGCTTATTTCCATAATACCGATGTTTATTTTCATGGCCATAATACTGATGTGTTTTACCCATGAAAATATATGCATTGATTTTATTTTCAGCAATAGTCCCAGACCTTGTAGCGGTAACGCGATACCTCGAGTCGACCTACGAGCTTGGGCGGGCGAGGTGCCTCAGGCTTAGTGGCTCCAAGGATTGAAAACGGCGAGAACTTGGAGCAGGAGTGTATCGAGTGCACAACAATGGATCAATATTCGAAATTAACTACGGAAATTTATCTTGATATTGTTCATGACTCCAGGAAAAAAATGAATAGGTAAATGAGTTACGTTAACAACAAAAAAAGTTTGTTGCTAAATTTTGCAAGGGATTTACCAGCACATGATTAAAATCAGTATATGCTCGAAAATGGGAGCTAGCAGTTAAGATTGCATTGTTCTTTCTACTTGTATTAGAACGCGTAGCATCGCTTGGACCCTTGGAGGAAAGTGAGTGCAGTATAATACTCTAACTTCATGCTACCATTTGCTACTTACATCCCATTTGAATTAAAGAGTAAGAGGACAAGCTTATTATGCTCACTCAGTTCATTGTGTAATCGAAACAGTTCACTATAGTAAAGGATATAACTTGAGAATACGAATTGTTACTCGGTTCGGCGTGGGCATGCATTATTAACTAAATTATCAGCCGTGATCGTTATGCCGAAGGCATTGTAGCTTCCTCATATTCCATTGAGTATTGATTTTCTCTATCCGCATATATCCATCTTTCTCGCTTATTACAATACTGTTTGATCAGACGTATGTTTTTGTCCTAGCTCCACGTTAAAATACCTCTAAAGTGTTTTCTCGGTTAGAATTAGGAAAAAAATTATTAAATTGGTACCACTTTATTCAATTATACGCCGCGTCTTCAACAAATCTCGATGGAGAATATCCTGGTCGCTTCTCAATGCAGATCATATTATTCCAGAGGAACCTGGAACTTTCAGGGGGCGAAGCTTACCGTAGGGCAGGATACTGGCGCATTGCTGAGAAGAGGTTTAAAGTTACGCGTACAGTGATAAGTTCGGTTCAGTTAACTGTGCATGATCAACGATTCAAATGTTCGTTTATTATATTGAAATTCTGCCTTCAAGATAATGCTCAGAGTTTCGACATCTATCATATAAAAGTTATTTATTATTAATGACTAATACCGCAATTTATTGTTTATTTACTGGTATAATTGCTATGCCAACAAAGAAATTAGTCTGAAATTAGGCTCTGACAAACATAAATGCCACTGGGTACTGAGCCTATTTGAACGCCATTCATCTACCCTTCGGGAACAGAGAAGCTAATAATTGGACCAGGTCGAAGCCATTTGTGCTATTGCAAATGATGACTCCCAATTAAGACCCCTTCTGCAACTCTTGCAGCTGCACTGTTTGCAAGGGAACGTGTCAGCTATAGTTTAATGATCTCACAATCATAACCGCGTACTTAAAAGAAGCACTTACTGGACATGTGAAATCAAATATATTTCTTGATAAAAAGGTACGGGCATGTGAAGATTTCACCAAAGATATGACCAATAAACTGGGTCTGAATCGAAATTACAGTGAAAGAAAGATCGTTATGAAGACAAAAAAAAAATACAACGGAATTTTTCACTTCCTAACACAATTAGTATTTAAGTAAACTCGGATTCTCAAACTGCAGTAAGCACATGGGAAAACCTAAGATATTCTCGAACCTAATAACTGATTGAACTTGACGAATGAAAATCTTAACCTATTGTGAAGGATCTCGTTTGTCGTCCTTGCTCGTGGTAAAACTTGTCACCACGCACTGGCTTCGAGAACGGGTGGCCCACCGCGCACAAGGAGGTGTAGCCCAGGAGGCTGTCAGCCAGATGCTTCTCAAGCAGTCCCTCAACGAAGAAGTCCACATCGTTCAAGTTTTCGTACAGATTTTCCATCCTGAAACGTAACGCATACGATATTAAGGTACGACAGTAAACTGAGTACAAATTATTTCTGGTGAATGAAATAAATTAAACATTGCATGGATGTTCAGTCTTCACAAGGCCAATACGGAGAAAATATAATTGATGCAAATGAGATTTCGCCACCGTATCTCGAACGCAAGTAAGATTTTCCGTGTTTAATCTCTACTATACTAATGATATGAGACTGATGAATGTTAAGAGGCTAGTGAATTCATCTTCGTGACTCACAATGTATGTCGCCTTGGTTAACTGGAAATTTTTGTGAGAAGGAACGGGAGAATTCATAATTCAGTTAGTGTGATTAGATGCCGATAGTTTTCGCACGAATATATTTACGAGTGATTGCATTACCATGACGTTAATACATACGTTTGGTTTTTCAGTTTGATCTAATGAAGAGCGGAATTAGATTAACACGCATGTAACACAGTAGATATTTCATATCTGCGTACTCTTTTGAAAAAATCAACAATGCTCCTAAACCCTAGGGCGTACCAGCGGTATAACACTCCTCTTCGGCACTTTGCTCTGCAGTCGTCTGCCATTGGCTGGTCGTCCATTCTCATTTCTCAGCAGGTCTCCAGAGCTCATCGGCAAAAGACCATCTCTAAAGCTCATCAGACGCCGCAACTCTTCGTGAAATGAGCCGTACACGTTGGAGCCATCGAGTCAATGTGTTATTTGATTCATCTGTCAAAAGGATGAATAATGTTATATAGAGTCGCGTGAGATGCACGACATTGAAAAATGAGTAAGGAGTTTGTCGTACTCCAGGAATAAGAATCCAAATCTGATTACGCATAAATGGGAATATTTGCAGATATATCCAAGTGCTTTGATGTACCCACCATAATGAGAAGAACTTTCAATATTAACATTAGCGAAACATTTTTCATTGTTATTGTATATATGTTACATTGACTAAGCGCGAGTTTTTACACAATCCTGTAAATATCTACTTAAAAATATCCATATTCGGAATCTGACTCGGATCAGATCAATTGAATGTGTTGTTCCAATTGGTTAACTCTAATATGATTCTTGGAATTTAGTGCCAAACTGCAAACATTTTGTCTAAATAAATCTCTCGGAACACTAATCACAGTTCAAAGTATTCATGTAAGCATTGGGTTGTTTCTTCACCACTTGCAGTCACCTCCTGGGCTGGTACAAAAGAGCAGTCGGCGTTTACAACTTGCATGCTTCGGACGAAGTTAAGACAGCGTACGCCTTTTTGTCCATAAAATGTATCATTGGCGAAAATTTATAAAGGGGAACACTAAATTAACGTGGCTCTGGCATGCTGGCATAATTCTGTAGTTCTTGCATCATTCAATGCCAGGGCCATCAACTGAAACAAGATGATTCTCATGAATCATTGGGATAAGGATGTCCCAGCAAATCAATGCCAAATTGAAAGTGAAGAATAATAATTTTTGAGATGATACTTTACAGCTTTAATTCAACAAGGAAAAGCTCAAATTGTGGATAATTTCTGAAATTATATGGACTCAATCCCAAATACATCATATCTATAAAACAAAGTATCCGTATGACGTTAAGCGTATCTCAACAGCGGAGCAGTGATGAGCAGTTGGCATTTGGTTATAGAATTTAGCTTCACCACGGAATAAGAAGTAGAATAAACATTAATATTAAATAACATCGAGGACCTGAGAAAGAATGGAAGGGAGTGTGCGTGAGGTCATTGCCCAGGAACTGCTCCCACTGCATTACTGCAGAGCGTGAACTTTGGATCAGGACCATGGTCAGAGGGGCAGTACTTACCAAGCCCCCAACTGCGGTTGTTGTGCAAGCTTAATTACGCCATCAGGTTCTCCGCTATCTCTGCTTGCCACTTGGCGAAATAATTTGTTTAAGAACAATCTAATACATCTCTATGTTGATTCTATCCATTACCGATGAACAATTCAATTGAGAAAATTACGTGTGCTTCATTCAAGCCTACCAATCACGTGATCACTCATAAATGAAATCACGCACCTATTCCAATATATTATAATGTTATACACAATGATTGAAATTATCTAATAGAGAAATTTATCACCAAGAACATTGATTTAGTCATACACATTTTTCGATTTGCTCACTCACTCTGGACATTTCAATTGCAGCAGTATAGTTGACCTACATCGCCTCGGCGTACTTCCTGAACGCAGATGAAGCACTCTGAAGAATCTGAGAAAATCGCGCGCGGGCGTACAAGGTAGAAAAACAAGGTCTTGGCTGTCAAAACAGGGGCCGCTGCTTATATCCGCCTTAGAATGCTTTGTTCGTCTAAAAAAATCTACATCTTGCTTAATATTAAGAGCTCCGAAAAAGACAATAGCTAAAAATCCAAAATCAACACCAGTTAAGCTACACGGCAGCAATAGCAGCCTGCTCACTTATTTAGAAATACATACCAATGGGATCTCGAAAACAATACGATATATACATATTCTTTATATTCACCCTCTTAATATACTCTTTATATTTTATCTGCAAAACAGAGTAGTATTTGGCAGCATGCGTAGTATTTAAATGGCACACAAGTTTTTGAAAATTTTAAAGCTGCAACAAAATAAAGTAAAAAAAATGAAGAGGTGTGTGAGTATCGAGGAATATCAAAGCACTTACCAACGGAAAATCTGCTCTTGTGCATTTACTCCGTTCACGTAATCAATTCCTTTCTGACATGAATCGTGAGCTCTAGTCATTGTTCTAATATTGACATCAGGAGCTCCAGAGATCTGAAGGTGTGGCGAGAGACCAAAAGGAGCGGTTATTGGGGCTTCAGTTGCTGTCCGAGTGCGCTGAAGAAGTGGCGAATCTTGATGGAGCGGTCATCGGGTCCTCGGTTGTTGTCCATTGGCGCTGTGGAAAGGACAAGCCGGTCATCCATGGCTTTTGTATCATGGCGTTTGCGTGGAAAAGATGGTGTGCGACTGAATTGGTCAGCCCTTGATCGAGTTGTTCGCTGCAGGCCAACAGCCGTGAAGAAAGGAGCCTCCGTCCAGCAGTGATCCGGGCGGGCGGACCTCTGCCGTTTGGCCTGGCCCACGAGTATGCCGGGCATCCGGCCGACGCGCAGGCCAAGGAACCCCCACGACGTAGACGCGGCAGAGAGACCGACCCCACCAGCCATGCCGTCATCATGTGTGCTCTTCGCTATATGGATTTGGGCCGGTCTTCAGGATAATAGGCATATTCAACGTCCGAGTCCGAAAGTTTCTTGTTTTCATTGGTTTTCAACTTTTGTCACCGAGATCTACACTAGAAGATAAGTTCATTTTTTTCATTGCAGTGAAATCTGACGAGTGAAAAAGATGAAATTCAGCTTGCATAAATCGAAGTTGGGCGCGGGTCTGCGAGGTAACTAAAAACCAAGAGTTGAAAATTTGCAAAAACGGAAAAAAGCGTGAAAAAAAACGCAGGCGATCAAACCACCTAATTGTTCTATGTAGAATACATTAACTCACAAGTCCCCTGACACGTCATCGGAAGTTTTTTTCTTCGGTGAAATTTCTTTTTCATGAGCTGTGGGCCTTAGCTTTAAAATCAAATATCCAGAAACTTTGTGAAGGCAGGTCAGCCCCTATAGCTGTTCTCTACACGCACACCCCACACGCCTGCTGCTCTCTACACGCACGCACTCACACGCTGCAGCTGCTCTCTACACGCACACCCTCACACGCCAGCTGCTCTCTACACGCACACACTCACACGCCAGCTGCTCTCCACACGCACACACTCACACGCCTGCTGCTCTCTACACGCACACTCGCACCCCCTCACACGCTAGATACTCTCTACACGCAACCCCTCACACGCTAGATACTCTTCACACGCACACCCTCACACGCCAGCTGCTCTCCACACGCACACCCTCACACGCCAGCTTTTCTCCACACGCACACACACAATCGCCAGCTGCTCTCCACACGCACACCCTCACGCCAGAACATTCGCAACTCACCAGGGTCACAGCATGACCTAACCACCCTAAAGTTGTAATCTGCACAGAGTTGTTATCACATTTGCTCGTGCGGAGGTTGGAATTTTGTAGCGATGATCAGAACTTAAAAAATAATGTAGGTAAATACATTTGATGAACACGAGGATGCCTACATACTGAAAATCACATACCTCAGGTAGGTTCAGGATGGCTCGAACCATCCTGAACATTCGTCTTTCCTTGCGTCTGATGTGACTGAAGTTGACATATGAAGGAGCAAAGAGAAGTGCAACCGCAGTCGGTGTAGGTTTATTACGAACTGAGCACCGTTGTACAATTGGTTACAACAAAGACTATTTCCATTGCCACACACGTAATCTAAACGATAGTTAGAGCCCTAAAGGAATATCACACGTTGCTATCGTCTCGATCTGTCCTACAGATGGGCTCTAGGACTGACAGCTGATGAGAATGGTCCTTGGCTTGCGGATAGGAACATTCACATAATTAAAGCCATCTAGTTCAATTAAAGACAATTTACGCTTAATATAGGTATTGGTTTCTGCCTCATCGGCTATGTTTTCCCGCATGCTATCAGTCCCTGATGCATGGCGTCCACGGGAGCGTTGACAACAGCCCCGGTTTCAGTTAGGTGTATCAGCTCCAAAATAGTTTTCTTATAACTGCTTGTCGAGTACCCAAACGCATCTTCAGTGCTTTTCGCCGCTTCCCAGTGGTCGGCACCGTTAATGGATTGGAACGGGTAATTTTCCTCATCGTTCTCTTCATCGTGAATAACGTAATTCAGATGGGGAAAGGATTGCGTTAGGCCAACAGTACATGTGCTGATAAACAGGCTCCGAAACCGACATCTCTTCTCGTATCCAATCAGATTAAACGGTGATCACACCGAAATTAATAATTAAATTAAGACTATTCACAAAATGATAGCTTGTAAGTTAGTGTAACTTTCTTCATGTTCTTAATAGGATGGTTATAACCTATATAAACCCGTTTTGATGTTGTTGATGGTATTTCGGCAACTCATTTTGGTTAATTTTTTCAATCGCAATCGTTCCTCAAATACTATGTTGGTTAATTAAAATATGCCGAATTAAAAGTCTATTCAATATTCCTTTGGAAAGAGACGAGATATTTTCAATTGCACATAACTTATTTTCGAGAGGCCTTAATTGTTACAAAATAAAAAAAGTATCAACACAGATCGTGCATGTTGATTCCTGATCTCTTTGCTTTGGATAAACAGAACAATCGAATGCGGAGGATAAAGTGGCAAGATAGATTGACAGCATTTATCAATCCTTGTGATTAAAATCATCATTAGTTATTAGTTCATAACCAAGAAATGCACTGCACAAAGGCGATGACAAAAGTTTTCGTCCATTGTCCTCGGTACCAGCACCCCTAAACGATGATGACGTGGATATTTAATTTATAATATAAATCTAATGACTAGGTAACTTTAACAACTCGGCTAAGATTATCCAGCTGGCAGAGGTTCACTTCAACAAGCAGAAAACTTCCCCCAAAAAGTTTGCAGTGGAACCTTGCAACCATTACCATATAGAGA